TGAAGTAAAATTGAAATCAAAAATCAAAATCAATTGAAATCAACGTATGTATATAGTGACATATTTGAAATAATTCTTTTTGAAAATGGAAATCTGATTAAGACATAAAGAAACTTACAGGTTTTGCATACGTGTGCATAGCGAGAAAGGGAAAGGACAGAAGAGTTGATCTTTTTTTGGCGGCAGCAACTGATAAAGATAGCTCCGCCGAAATTGACAAGTGCGATGTGGGAATAGACTTATACAGCGTTATCACTTGGCGCAAGCTCTGAGCGCTTACGAGCCCTTCATGGCGAAACTTGGCATGCGAGAGCATGTGCACTGCAAAGTAGTCGATACTTATGTATTAATTCATAGCACATACAATAAGATATTAGTATAAAAACACTCTGTTTCGTTTTCCCCCCTTTTAGTTTACTGTTGTTGATGGCTGTTTTTCGAGAATTATAATGATTCAAGAGGCGATCCTTCCAGGAATTTAATGAGGATCCCTGTAATCCAGGAGCCGCCCATTGTGCAAATACCAAACAGGGGGATCGTACTTAGACATCAAAAAGCTTCATAATAAGCGAACGAAACCGTGGGCATCAAGGGATCCTTGTAGGGTGGGATTCTATGCAACCTGTTCGTGACCTGATAGTGATGTGGTGAAACTAGAGGTTTTCCACTTTATGGTGGAGCGATGGATCAGTCGCAAACCACCTACTTGAGAAGAAGTGTGAACGGTACTGCAGGCACTCAGACAACGATGAGTTTCAGCAAATTATTAGCTATCCTCACAGCCTTGTCTACATATTGGCTAAAGTTGAGACGGCCTCTTTCGAATTTATGGAGAAAGCCGAAATTGATTACCTGAATGTGTGGATGAATGAGAATTAGTTTTGCCACCAATTTGAGAAAAATCAGCAGAAAGATTCTTGAAGGAGGCTCCAGGTTAAGGGCGCCTAATAGCAACTCAACATGGTTAGCAACCAATTACGAGAATCCACTTTATCTAAACTCTGCTTTTTCCAGGTGCGCCATACAACTAAACATAATGTTATATTACAAATAAAGAATCAATTCCATTTGCCGATTCCTTTTTGGGATGGGCCCTGCATCCTACTCCTATTCGGAATGTAGTGACATTGGTAACGCGATATGTATAACCTATCGCTGTAGTAATTCAATGTACAAGTCATTGCTTTTATCCAAAACATGTCCGGTACCCATTACGCGACCCTCGAGAGTGGTAAGGTTGGTTGGCCCGAACGGTGCATCATCTAGGTTTTGATCCCCTGACCGCGCTCATGATAAGCACTGCCACTTGCCACTGCAACATTTTCGCCATTGATAGTAGACCGGAGAAAACAAA